TTTTCATCAGTACAACCTTACCGAATGGTAATATTTAATTAACTTCTAGTAGTTCGATTTAAAAAATGTAAGGATTTTTGATTTGATAAAGACGTTTAATTTGCCTTGGTTGAAAAATGTATTGAATATGTTTGGTGTTTTAGTACAAGTATTACAAAAAATTGAAAAATTAATTAAATTGAAAATGTTGATTCCATCAAGCATTCAATAAAAATTAAAAATGTGTTCCAACCAGAGTAAAATTATCTTGTTTATGCATTCAAACAAATTTATAATTTTTAAATTAGGCCTTTGGAAGTAGTTCAATTTTTGTCAGGCTTATTACTCTATTAGGTACGTCTCTAAATATTTGAATATTTTGAACTAATTACTGAGTAATATGTGCATGCGAGTGCGAAATATGTGATTGGTGGGGAGTATACACACATTATTGATTATTTACGGTAAGCGGCACGCACAAAGGAGAGCAGTGATCTCAACGAACCGGAGAACTGTCTAAACACAGCTCCTCAAAAAAAAAACACGTTTTGAAGGGCGTTTGCATTAGGTAAATATTATATTGAATTGATATTAAATATGCGTACCAACAACATCATTAGAATGTTTTGGGATTTTAGAAGTTCTATTGTTAATTTAAACTGCAGATATCATTATTACAATAATATTACAAAAAATATAATTTAACGTCAATAAGAAATATTTAATATTACTTTTGTGCTATTGTGTTTTAATAATTATTTAGATATAACTCTTAATTACATGATGATTAATTAATATTAAATGCCATGCGCGAGGTGAAGATAATTGTTTGAACAAAGTTGCTAAATAAACTATGTACCTATATCAGAATCATGTTTTGTTTCTTGTTGTCTATTTTCTATAATAATAATGCAATTAATGTTTGATGATAAAAACAATTTATAGTAATTATGAAGCATCATAAGAGGTGTGTAACCATGGGTCCTATTTATATTTATCAAAATAATTTTACTGATTCTATCGGAAATTCTATTCAATTCTATGGAAAATATTATATGAGCTAAATATTTGGAAAGAGGTGTTACTACTTTTCTGTATGACAGAAAAATCAATAAAAACAAGCGCACCCGCATTAAGCCCTAGTAGCACACGTAAACTGTTAACTACAGCGAAGTTTGCCATTCCCAACATAAAAAAAATTATTCCGAAAAAACTTAAGATATTAAAATTCTAAAATTACACAGAAAATTATACCATATTAATTGGAAAATCATTCGGAAGTCTGAGGTCTGTAGCTTTACGTGGGGAGCCAACTTCAATTCAAAACTGATTTGTTAGTTTGAGTTTAACTTGGTTCAACAACCAATCTGTTGAGGAATCATGAAATGGTAATATTCGGTTATCAAAATTATAAGAAGACATTTTTTTAAGGTAGAAAATTGTTGATCTTCATCTTAAAGAGGTTTTTAGTTTGTGGGTCTAAAGCTCAAATTGCTCTGTACTTTAAAAATAATCGGAAAAAAACAATTTACAAAGAATATTTACACAAAACTAGTTTTCTACAAAATCGATTTGTTTTTTTATTGTATTTTAAAAACGAATAAATGTAAACTAAAATTGAAATCAAATATTGATAGAATCATATTTTGGACATAAATACATTTTAAGATATTTTATTTCTTTTTGATCTATTTATTCTAGACAGACATTTGATATTTTCTACTTTTTAAATTGTTTTCAAATCATGTATGATAGCATTTTTGATTGTGAATAAAATAGTTTAAAAGTATAATATATGACTCTACTGAAGTTCCATGTGCTTTACAGAAATCAAAAAATTCAAAAATATTTTTAAAAGTGGTTGAGTGTTAAATTTCGAACTAAATTTGTTGAAATTCTTAATAATTTTGATATTGCGTTTTCATTTTTTGCTGTATATAGAAGTACAAGTACTTATGTTATAACTATGTATCATTGAATCCAGATTTAACCAATTGTTTTACTCGATGACGAGGTACACTATTCTACCCTTGGATAGTGACTATCCTGATTTTTATTTTACTTTAAAAACATAGTGTAATAGTTAACCGCAACCAGTGTAAACTTTTAAAGTTTGTTAAATAAGGTGAATAATTTAAAATACACGTATAGCGTATTGCCTATATTATATTTAACACTAAAAGTTTACATTAAAGTGTATATTGCGTGTGTCTGTTGATAACTTAATCGGTTGTTCAACCAATTTGCTATTTTAAGATAAATTTTTATAAAAATATGTGTATCAAACTCTTAGGTGTAATAAATTAGACCATGAAAATAGGTTGACAATATGTCACCCGGATGACGATAAAATAATATAATATTATGCAAATGTGCATATACGTACCAGTACTGCCGGCAGACGATTTTCCGCGAACTAGAATGCTGCGCACTCAGGCGGATTATGAGTAGAAGATATTTGGTGCTACCTGGGTCTATTGGACCACCGATCGGTTGCACCGAAATACGTCTACTGACAAGCTGTGTCGGCGGCAGCTTCATTTTCGGTGGACTTTTGGGGTGGCAGCACTCGACATTTTAGCGCGCGACCAGTGACGAAAAACGGTGGTTAGGTAGGTTAAAAAGACAGGTGAGGAAGTAGCTGGTAAGAATATTTTTGGACATTACAGCGGTGGTGGAGGGTTCAGTAAAAAACGACAATAATGCGTATGCGTATAGGTTTCAAACGAACTTGATGCGAATAGTAGAACGCCCTCTTAAACACAATGAACACTTTCATTTATTTCAATCATACCACCTAAACTCTCGATTTCATTCAATCGAGTTTTTGCGTTTTTTTCAGAGAACAATATTTTTATTTTGTAGGCACCTACACGAAGTGCCTTCACAATATGATGTGATGCAAAAGGCTATGCACATTTTCCACATAAAATTTTTTTTTTTTATGACTGTTTAGATTTGTATAATGAATGCAACAAAAATAATTTGTTATTATGATGTATCATATTTTTTCATTCATATTATCAAATTCACACATTTTCAGAATATATCTTTTGTATACATTATTAATTATTATGTATACATATAGTAGATACCTATACATATAGGTTCAACGGTTGGTTGAATGGAAACCCCAACAATATTTTTATATAAAAGTTAAAAATATATAAGGGATACGTCAATATTTGTGAAACAATTAAATTATAACAAAATATAGGTACCTAAATTTAGAACGTGGACAGTCTACATAATAAAAATTGGACTATCTGCATCACTAAATAATTGTCTATAGATAACAATCTTAATTTATTCAGATCAACTCTCCCTTACAATCTAAGTAGATTTTCTATTATCGACCAAACTTTGAACAAATTGAACACATATTAAGCATGGTATTTTTTATATAAATAAAGAATTCATAGGAAATCGGTTATAACAACTTTCAAGGGATCAAGAAAATGTGAAATTTTAGGCGGAAAAACTTAATAAAAGTACCTACAGCTAGTTTTTAGAACATGTAAACTAACATTTAGGTTACATCAACAATAATTTCAGTTTAAAGTTGTACGTATGTTTACGTATCACGCATAAATTATGGTAATAAATTATAATCAATGCCTAATTGATGTAGGCAGGTACAATAATAATGGGATTTTTTTTGTAAATTCTTTCCTTTTTATAATTTTGCAGAAATTCACAAACCTAACTAACCTAAACTTAATTATAAGCCGAAAAGGTACCAACACCAACTGTATTTATCTTAATTATTATTACTTTTCATGATAAAATCTTACCAAGTATCGGATAACTGATAAATTATAGACATTTTGTTATTATGAAACAATTATAACTTAACTTTATTATTGTGCCATAATAATACAGTCGTTCAATCAGTTTCGATATTCAAGAGTAATCGAATTAACCCGATAACCGTATACTTTAACATTAAACTTGTAGCAGTATATTAGGGACTGACCTTATTATAGTCTCTATTTATAATTTTTGACGTAATAGCCTTCATATATAATTGATTTCCTCTATTTTCTATTACATTACAATAGCAATTACACATTTTATTAATAGTCAAGGCTGGCCAATAACATTAACAAGTTAGGAAGTTATTTTTCCATCCCCATATTTTAATTCATTACTTACTATCACGATGTATATATTATAATCCAAATGTTTTGAATTCAGAAAACTACAAGGAAAAGTTTATTTTATTACAGTAAAATATAAAATCGTTTTTTGTTTCGAAAAATCTTTCAAGAAAAAATAATGAAAATACTCAATTATATTACCTATATAAAAATAGCTGATCCCGTGCGCTTCGTTGCCTGTCGAAAATGCAAAATCTATGCATGATACTTGCTTATTATAATGCGAGCAGTATATTATTAGGTAGAATATCATATTATATTAGTATTATCGTACCCCACGTTAAGCGTATACTCTATATGAATAATATTTTTTTTATTTTTTATTTTGACTGTTCATACGTCGATGAGCAGCTGTAAATGCAACTGAGCAATCTTAGTAGGCAATGTGTGAAAATTCGATTAGTTATTTTTTATTAGTTATTTTTTACCAATAACTCAAATAACACACTCGCTGGGATATTCAGATAAAATGAATTGTTTTTTTTTGTTTTGGCTAAACTATATAATTATAATAATTGTTTATTATTCCACGTCGATACCGACCTGCCTGGAAGCATCTGTGGTTGTCGAGTATTTATTTTCAGCCAGAGACTATTTCTTACTAAAAAATGTATAGTTATACAATTTACACGTTTATTTTAATTAATAATAACCAATTATTTATTAACTTTATCGGACTAAATCTATGCCAAAAACCTTCTCTGTGATGTCCTCTTCAATTTAAAAAAACTGCAAGACCGTCCAATAAGTAGTTTTCTCGATTAGCGCGGTCGTAGAAAACCCTTTACAATTTTATATAATAGTATAGATAGATAAATTATGTATACATAGCAACGCTTACCTAGTTTACTTTATCAATCAATATTTTAATTCTAAAGACGTTCCTAGTTAGAACATATTATTAACCAACTTATAGCAAACTTATAGTTTAGAAATGGATTCGTGTTGCCCAAAAAAATGCTCACCGTCGCCATGTCAGGTATAATAAATTCATATAATATAACTATTATGCTACTACTGAAAAAGGTTAGGTATAATGCGTGACAATGATATATCTTATATAGAAGGACATCGGTAGTAAAAAATTATTGACTGTTATTTGTTCTTTTCATTTTAGTACCTACCTATTAATGAACACGTTAAACGTTGTAGATAATGATTAGTTATTATGTATAGCTTTTTGGCTATTAACTTGAATTAAAAATTATTCTAAAATTGATTAATTATTTTTTAAATTATGATTTTCAAGAAATATGCAACCTCTACAGCAGGGGTCTTCAACCCGCGACCAGCCCTGTCCGCGATCACATTTGATATTTAGCATGTATATTTTCTATTTCGATAAAATTATAAAGGCTAAGCCATTGGTATCGGAAATATGCGATAAGATAAATCGATAAATTAATTAATAATTTGTAATTTGTAATTTAAAATGTGATCATAAAAATTGTAATAATAAAACTGAATTTTTGTATTAAATATGCGTTTTTACTATGAATGCGGCCCGCAAGATTATTAAAAAATAATATGTGGCCCACTGCATAAAAAGGTTGAAGACCCCTGCTTTACAGTGTAACAGTACCAATACCATAAAGTAACATGCCAATTAAATTATTATCTCCTACAGATGAACTGCAGCATTCAACGAGTGTCTCCACCTATGGAACTCGGAGAAGGCCCGCATTGGAATCCATTGACTCAGAGCTTATATTTTGTAGACGTACACAGGAGAAAAATTAACAAATATCATCCAGAAACCAGCTGTTATACTTCTGCTACTATAGGTAAGTAATTTACTGGATATAACTAATGTCAAATAAAATAACTTTTGCTTATTTTTAATTATTTTTTCATGAAATATTCAAGCGCGTTACATGAATTAGTAGTAAACATGTTTTATTTTTTAATACTAAAAATAAAAAGTTTTAAATGTGATATACATTTTTTTTTAAATTCAAGAAAGTCAGTTTGTAAATTTGGTTCTAGAAAAATGTTGATTGTAAAAATATTTACTTAAGCCATATAATTTATTGTATACACATTTTTTAAATCTCATTATTTTCGTTTAGGTAAAATGAAGTAAAGTTTAAAAAAAAGTTAGTTCCAAATTATACAGAAAAACAAATTTAAAATATTGATCAGAACAAAGTTTATTTAATTTGTAACGTCTTCCGGTTACGCCTTATAAGCATTACTTTATATGTTTGGTACACGTATATGTAATAAATAATTTGTATTCATCTTTCACAGATTGCTGCGATCCATTGACTTTCGTCATCCCAGTCCACAACCAACCTGACACTTTCTTGGTTGGCCTGGGGCTCGCCATTGCCGTAATTAGATGGGATGGATGTTCGAATAGAGCCGAGTACAGGTACTTGAAAACGATTGACAAGACTCCAGGCAACCGTCTAAACGATGCAAAAGCTGACGCCTCTGGCCGTCTTTGGGTTGGTAAGTAATGAAATTTTGTGGTTGTTGTAAAACAGTTCGGTGAGGTCCATTGATGTTTAAAAATTGTTAATTTTTAAAAGGATCTATGGGACCAGAGATGAAAGACAACCCAGGTCATTACTATAAGTGTAGGGGTTCACTGTTCTCGGTGGAATTCGACGGCACCGTCAATAAAAAGTTGTCAAACATTGGTATCTCCAATGGTATGGCGTGGAGTCTGGACAACAAACTATTCTACTACATAGACACTTACAAATACGCGGTCGAGGCTTATGATTTTGATCTTATCACGGGAAATATCTGCAAGTGACCCCTTCGATTTTAGATATAAATTTAGATTTAGATTATTATTATATATTATATTTCATTATTTTAAGGAACAATATTATTAACTATGCGTGTCTTTGTTATGCAGGTAACGGAAGAGTAATTTTTGATTTTAAGTGTAAAAATATAGCTGGTGAACCGGATGGTATGACTATTGACACAAACGGAAACCTGTGGGTAGCTGTTTTCAACAGTGATAAAGTAAGATTTCAAAAGATAATTTTTCATTCTCATATTATTAATTTTAAATGTGTTTGTTTAATGTTTTCGAAATAGGTTTTAAAAATTAATCCCAACACAGGCACACTGATGACAACCATCGAATTTCCTGCCTATCAGATCACATCTGTTGCTTTTGGGGGCCCAAATTTGGATCAGCTGTATGTAACTACAGCAAGTTACAATACAACTGATGTGCAAAAATCAAAACTGCCGTATTCCGGAACTCTGTTTCGAGTAATGGACACATGCTCTACTGGTTATAACGGCGTACCTGTCAAAATTAATTTGTGTTCGTTAAATTAACTATGCACAATAAAATAACAAAACAAATATCAATAGTTATTTTTTTCTTATTTAAGTATGAATCAAATACTTTTATAATTTGTTTTAAGGTTATACATAATATTATCATTTCTTAATCAAATCTTATTCGTTTTCAAAAACTGAGCTTGTGCATCTTATTTCTTAAATGTTTCATTATTGAGGTACACTGGTACTAAAAATATATTTAAAATGTTTTTACAAACTGAGAGCATATTGTTCTTATTAATAGCAAATTGTAATACATCTTATTTTACACAGGATATGGCCACATAAAAAAAAAATTAAAAAAATTAACTGGCCCTACACCGGTCCCAGTTGATGACTGATAGATATTCCAACTAATAGTTACAAGAGATCAGAAATCAGTGACGTATTTAGGAGGGGATCTTAAGAGGTCATTTTTTTAGTGTTTCATCAGATTTTAAAATAGTAACGCCAGCGTTATAGACAAGATTTATAGATATGGATGATTAAAACCGATGATAGTTCCTCTACAGGTACCTCTCAACAAAAAAATTAGGTAAACCAATTGTATCATATAATCTCAAATATTAAGTAGGGATAATTTAATTGCACCACTAAGATTATATTGATAATAGTTATAATTTAAATGACCAAAATAACAATTAAATGCATTATAACCATGTGCATTTACTGATAATAAATATACGGTGAAACTTTAAACGAAATCTTATGAAATATTTTTGAGAAACAAACGAAACAAGAGTTATATTTTTTAATGATCTATATTATCATTGATTATAAATACTAATAAATATATTTCTGTATTGTGCTGAGGTACTGGGACGATCGAAGGAGATAATCTTTCTAGTTAATCAAGTAATCAAATATGATAATTGCATTGTAAATTAAATATTATTTAAAAATAATTAGAATTATTATTACATATTATTTACTTATTATACTTATAATTAAACATTACGTTTAATGTTATTCTTCATTACGAATATAAGAATATTCTTAAATTGTGAACATGTACATAATATTACGTACAAACGATAATAAAGGCAACCGGGCTTCTGCGTCGTGATATTTTACTTAAGTTTTATTGAAGTTCGAATACATGAATTTAAACTAAATAACGTTTCGATAATAGAGGGTCGTATAGCAAACGTTCGGATAATCGAGGTTCAACGGTCATCACATATATTTAATATAAACAAACAATAAATTACCCAAGTACGGTTAAACATTAAACCAAATATTATACACAATAATACAGGGTATTCTGTACCCAAGTAGGGACAAAAAAATTGTCAACATTGTGATCCGATATGATTTGACGGGTATATTATATCAATTGCACCGAAATGGCCTTTTAATTTGTCAGTAATCTATCGATTGAGCCTCGTCTCAATTAGGAAGAATTTTTTCACATATTGTCATATTGATTCCACCGGCCATCAATACACTGAATATTATTTATTTTAGTAATTAAAAAATGTTAAATGCTTACATTTACATTGTATGTTAATATTTTATTGGTAATTTTAGAAATAAAAGTAATTTACAGTTCACTCATAACAAAATTACATTTCTGAAATGTAATATTAAATTAACACAATCTAATTCTTATATAATAATAAGACTATAGGAGGGCTTAGCAATACTAAAACAAACAAAAATTTAAAAAAACATATAACACACGTTTTTGACGATTTGTTAAATAAATAAATTCATAGATCTCTCATATAAAACTTAAAAATATTTTGTAAAATAAAAAATTACTAAATATTTAAATTACAATATTTTACAATTTTAACAAATGTTACATTGAATTTAATTTTCTTCTATACTATATACATTATATTATATTATGCACAGTTTACTTTTTTTTTTTTTATTGAACTTGAGCCCGGCGTCTAAGGCCATTAGCAATTGTAGGGGTTATGAACTGTGGTAGGGGTGAGGTTGGTACGGTGGGTAGTTTTTAGTTCTTACGATTGTTACGGTCATTACGTTAGGTAGCAAACACGTGTATGTGTGACAAGGTTTTTAACTACTATAAACCCGGGTGGCGGGCGAATTCCCCGACTAGTAGCAGCCAACGCGCCACGCCAAGCCACTTGTGTATTGTTTATAATATCGAAAACGGTCCAATATTCATACACGAGAACACGAGTTTCCACATAAGTGCGGTCGGTTTACAGTTGCGTCACTCATTTTTTATTTATAAGGGCAAATATTAAAGCTACACACCCACTCTTACATACTATTATAACTTGCATAATATATGTAAAAATCGTTTTTTATTATAAAAAAATATTGATGATGTAACAAAAAATAAACGAATGTAAACTTAAAATAATATTTAAATAGTAAATACCTTGTGCTGGCATTAGATCCTCAGATCCCATATTTATATATATCTACATATAAGAAGACAGGCTTAATGCCTAAAAAAGTTATTGGCAATAAACGGTTGAAGTATGGCATATGGTATTTAAATGTGTAATAGGACTATCAACTGGTAGGGGGGAGGGGGTGAACTCATAATAATATTATGCCAGTGGTTTTACAGGAACGATTTATTTATCTAACCTAGAGTCAACAAATTCCTGTCAAATTAGTCATAGGTAACCTAATATTTAACTTATTTGGTATGTCTGAAACCAAGTGATCTTGAAAAAAGTACATTAATTGTGAAGGGGAAACGGTACGTATACCGTTTTCTGTAAAGCACACATGAAATACGAATAACGGCATACTATATGATACAGTATGAACTATTTATAAGAATCATTGCTTTAAATTTTCAATCCTTAGCTATATAAGGGCGATTACAATTTCAAAATGTATTCATAAATAAACAATTTTTTATAAATTTCTAACTCAAAATAATTTGGAAATTTTTCATGAATTTGATGTATTTTGTCAAAATTTTAACTTTATACGTTCATAAAAAATTATTGTAGATCAAAGATCAAATTTTTTTCAGTTTCCCCTAACAACAATTTATGAAGAACTTTGTATTACAATTTTAAGTTTTTTGAAAAAGCAAAAATTGTTTTTATCGACAGTTAAAAAAAAACTCAAAATTGTATTATGCCTATCAGGGCTTGCAAACGTTATAATAACGTTATGATTATAATGTTATATTTGATAAAAACCGATTGAAATTTGTAAACGTAATTATAACGGAAAACGATAAACATAAATAAATAAATAACACAAAACAAAATGTAATGTTTAACAAAATATATGATATATCATTAAACAAAACATAACGCAAAACGATATGTAATATACATTATATTCCATTAAGCGAAATAATTAATTTACAATTATTTAATAATATTTAGTAGTATTCAATTATTTATTCAATACAAGAATTAATTTTATTCCGTATCCGGCCTATCCGGGAGATCCCGTATTAGATATTATTTTAAAACTTAATAAGTAGGTATTAATAGAATAATTTAATTACCAATAGCTAATAATAGTGATACTCTGATAATATTGTACTGTACTATCTGTACTACGGTCGAAATTTATACCATTCAAGTTATTCAACTATTGTGTTCGGTGTTCAGTTTGCTCAGATTTGTTCAGTCGTCACTCGTCAGTGTTTGTCTAATCGTTGTCAAATGTTTAATATTTATATTTTATACTAATATACTTATAGTTTTAACGTGCATACGTTTTCTTTATATTAGTTTAACCCATTTAACTAAATAAATAAAATAAAATAAATAAAATTATACAATACCTACTTAAAACTCAGAATTGGGAAATTATGTCCCCCCAAAAAGGTCATAGTCATATACTTTTAAATTGCGGCCTGTGTACTTTTACAACAGGTATCTAAATGCTTTTAAATTTTAAATAACGATGAACACAAAAGTTGAATAACGTTTAAATTATGAATAACGATAAACTCAAAATTTGTACAACGTTTTGATTGTAAATAACGTAAAACAAAATTTTTTTTTCAAATGCAAGCCCTGCTATAAATACATTGTATGCAATTTATACAAGGAACCTATATATTTACACTCATCTACGATAAGTCGGCCAATGGACTCAAAATAATAACAATAGTATATTATAATATAAATATATACTATTATAATCATATTAAATATTATTAGTGTACTAATCAACGCTATATTATCTGCGAAATTACAGAACATTGGAAGTCCACAAAATACTTTATAATATGACCGTTTAATGTTTGAATTTTTACGAAATCCGATATTTCGGAGTAAAAAACGAATTCCCACTACATGATTTTCTTATTTTGCTGTGATTCAAAAACGATAACTGTAGAAACTTTGGACATTTATACCAAAGTATAACCTATATCTAGTAAGCCTTGCAAATACATATTCTTCCTCATAAGTACCTAGTTAATAGTTAATTACAAAAAACCAAAAATCTTCAAGAAATATTATCACATATTTTTTATAAACATATTTGAAGTTCAAAGATTTTCTTGGCGGTAAAATGTAAAAATATCCATTCATTTTCGACATAATCGGGTAAAAATAACAAAAAAAACAGTGTAAAACGGTAATATATTGTATGAAAAAAATACATAATTCATTGAAATTACTAAAGGAGATAGATGTGTACATTAGTTTGCTACTATAAAGATAAAACTGCAAGTTAAGTCGCATATTTTTTACACACACAATCACCTAGGATAACCTCTGGCAGTCGTAGAATTCTATCAAGATTCTTTCGGCTTAGCCATTGGTTTTATGCTACGGTAATTGGATGGGTGACCGATTTCTCTAGCCTATTTTTTTACTTTTTTTTGCACAATTTTTTTTGTTTGTTAGTTAAAAATTTTAAAAATGTTAAACAATATAGTTTATATAGTAACCCATACGCATATAATTCCATAAATATTTTTTGTAAGGATTTGAAAATTTTAATTAAAAAAGGGGTAATACTTTTTTTTACCGATTGTTACACTACATAAGTATACAAAACAAAGAAATCTAGATACGAAATTTCCCAACGTTTCGATTTTTGGAGATGCTGTATG